CCGCCACCGCCACCGCCACCAGCACAAGCAGTAGTGACAGCAGCAGCACCAAGAACATCAGCAGCACCAGTAGCACCAACCCTCGTCGTGATTGAGGTGACAGCTGTTGCTGCTGCTACTACTACCATCGCCACTGCTACTACCGCAGCTCTTCAACTTTCAAACACGCCAACTTAGGAAGCACAACGTGTCCGGCACTACACCTTGACCGCATCTGCAGCACTCTGTTCATCGCCCAGCTCCCGATAGAGGATCATGGCCTACAGGATGCAAAACTTGTGCGGGCATGCGCAGGTGGGCGAGCATTCAGGTCATCTTGCAGACATCCGGCGTCTGAATCACTGACTGGAAGAAAGATTTGAGGCTTGCGCCTTTTGGGCAGCGTCGAGGACCTTGCAAAATTGCATTACGTCTTGAGTTCCGTCTGACAACAGATTGACTTTGGCTGAGGTTGCATTCCCTACAGCAAGGGGAAATATGATGTATGCTGGCTGAGGATTTCCTTCACATAAACGGTTGTGCTTGTCGCTTCTCACTTCGTACTCAACTCGCCAAAGGGTTTTGCAAAGGCTCCAAGCTTGCTCTGGGCGGCGCACTTCCTGACATGTCTCCGATGTCAGGCTCTCCTTGTACGTGGTTTGCAGAACACACGCTTTGTCAACAGGGCTGGCCAACAACATGTGTTCAAAGTCTTTGTGCAAGACGTGCGCGTACTGTGCTGGGCCTTCTCTCAGCAACTACTGCAGGTGCCTCGGCATAGCGGAGTTGCAGAAGCGCGTCGCGCCGCTTCTCCTCGATCGGTCAAGCCAAACCCCTTCCAAGTGATGACTTGCCACATGCAGTTCCTGCTCAATTTCTATCAAATACCATCTTGTGCAAATTACGCGCAGTCCTGCTCCTCCGAGTTCAAAACTCCCATGGCCCCCACAGGCTTTTGGTCTAGTCTAATTTCAGGCTTGTCGAGCAACGAGTACTCCAGTTGCCTGGTTGTCCTCTGATGTCTTGACGCTAAGCCAGCCGTGAGTGCTGCCTGTGGGTAGTGCCACTGTGGATT